GTAGAATATTTCCGTTATACATGATTTCTATGTAACTTTAACCATTAAGGCTGCACACACGACGGAAGCTTAAAAAATGGAGTAACTTCTCCCGTTTTCCCAACATTTCCCTTCACTACTACTCTGCTGCTATTGCCCGGAGCGTGATGAAAAGTGTACTATAACCTGCCCAGGAGTATGAAGAATAATTGTACCAAGTTTCGTTAAAATCCGTTGAGTAGTTTTGGTTTCTATAAGGAACATACACACAGACAGACAGACAAAAAATTTACTGATTGAATTTTTGGCATCAGTATCGATCACTAATCACCCCCTGATAGTTATTTTAAAAATATATTTCATGTACAGAATTGACATCTCTACAGATTTATTATAAGTATGTATATTGTAGTTTGTACGTATAAACTTACCAATGCATAAAAGAAAACATGTAAAGCATTTTATATCATTCTTATTAAACACAAAAAAAAAACTAAATCGCTCTTCTAACCGAAAAAGATGCGAATTCTACGTTCATCTAGGAAGTCAAGTGACCCTAGAACAAAATTCCAGAAGTTTAGAAAGAAGGATTTTGGACCCGACACCGAGCAAAAAATTTGACGTAGTATTTTAAATAATTAGTCTTATTTACATGTGGTACCATTAAGTGACCACTCACTATCCTTTCAAGTGGTCTAGAGGCTTCAGACGGAGAGGAGACTCCCCCGGGGGGATGCCATCCGCCTGGAATACTTCTAGAGGCACTCGCCAATTCTCAGCTTGCGGTCCCCTTAGGATCTCGCCGTCCCCAAACCCAGTGACGACGTAAAGGTCATCTGCGACCAACAGCATACACACTCAAAAATAAAACCGAAGGCAATGCAGCTAACGGTAGTCGATTGACCGTTCTCCCACAGACGCGTACACGTTCGTAGCCAGCGTCATTATGAACATAAGGCAAGATAATAATAAATAATAATAAATAAATATTTCCAACACACACCAATTAGCTTAGCCCCAAAGTGAGCACTCTAAGGCTTGTGTTATGGGATATATATTTATATAGAAATACATATTAAACATCCATGACTGGAGTACAAATGCACGTATTCATCACACAAACATCTGCCCCCACCGGGATTCGAACCCGGGACCTCCCGAGTCAACGACACCATGAAACCCGGCGTACAAACCACTCGGCCACCGAGGTCGTCGAATGCGACCATAGATGCAATGACATAAATGTTTGTTCCTACGATAGGTCTTAAGATTTGGTCAAACAGTAACAGTTATTCTATGATCGACTTCTGCCAATTAAATAAGAGTTTGGTTCTATTAATTAATCTGTAGCGCCATGTAACGAATTCACAGCTGGCAGAAAATATGAGTTTTACATTGTTAAACGATCAATCTACAGATTCCGCCAAACAATTGCTAACTATGGTTAAAGCTGTGTACCTGTCGAAAGGATAGCTTTTATTTCTTTCAAATTATTGTAAGCGGTAATACAAAATTTTGTTACTGAGTTTAGGCCAGTTTTTCAAAGTACGAGGTTGCGGCCTATGAATTGCAAACCGATGGCGCAACTTTTCAATATTTAAGTGCTTGTAACAACGTAAACTGAAAATTAGTGTTAAATTTTTATTTAAATATAGTACCCGATAACTAGCTACAGATAATAACAACATTATTAAACAGTTTCACCCGCGGCGTCTGTCTGTCTGTGTGATCGCGATAATATCAAAAGCTACTGAACATATTTTCATGCGGCTTTACCATCACTTAGATAATGTTACGGAGAGTATGTTATACCTATGTAATACAGAGCCGAAGCCAACTGAGGACGACTGAATATTATATACACCGTGATTTACCGTAAAGTTACCCAAAACTGTTTTTTTTAACTTACTTTGAGCTTCGATAGTAGATCCACTAGCTATTGAGACAATTTGAGATGTATGGCTACCCCAATGAGGTTTTTTTTAGTATATTTTTATGTTGTAATCATTTTAGAGCTAGATGTTTACATCTTAAGAAAAGTTTACGAGAATAAATTCCACGTGATCCACATCAAATTCGCGGGAGCGATTCATGTCCCGTCTGTTGCCTGAACCGCGTCGTATCTTTATATATATAATTCTTCTGTGAGTGTGTATGTCACTGAACTTCTCTTAAACGACTGGACCGATTTTGATGAAATTTTTTGTGTGTTCAAGGGGATCTGAGAATGGTTTAGATTCACAATTTTGTCTGCTGGACAATGTTTTTTTAATTAAATTTTTTTATGGCGGTACGAAGTTCGCTGGGTCAGCTAGTATTAAAATAAAAATTGAGGTGATTTGTACTCTTTAAGAGTGTGACATAACCTTACAGCTGACGGTGGGGTATTTATCATTCAAATTCAATATCGTATTTAGTCCAGGCTGTTACAAGCACTTATGATTGTCGAAAAGCTCGGTTCGCAAATCTACGGCGGAACACCTTGTACTGAGAAGAACCGGCAAGAAACTTAGCAAGGGATGATTCTTTCTCCCTGTATTAAATACAGAGTCGTCAAATTGAAAAATGACTTCAATATTAGATAACTCAAGAAATCACTTTCCATTACAAATGTAAAATTATGACTATGGATTTGTCGCACGCTTTCCCCATGAAGAAAGAAATCAAATTAAACTACTACTGGTTAATACAGATTGATCTGTAAGTTTCCAGCAAAAGTATTAGAGTTAGGAATAATCAAATTAGGATCGCAACCTTATATTTGACGACCTCCGTGGCCGAGTGGTTTGTACGCCGGGTTTCATGGCTGTCGCCGACTCGAGAGGTCCCGGGTTCGAATCCCGGTGGGGGCAGATGTTTGTGTGATGAATACGAGCATTTGTACTCTAGTCATGGATGTTTAATATGTATTTATATAAATATACTTATATATGTACAGTATATGTATTCTATCCGTTACCCTAGCATCCCATAACACAAGCCTTACAGTGCTTACTTTGGGGCTAGGCTAATTGGTGTGAGTGTTGGAAATATTTATTTATTTATTAATGTGTCGAGGATTCCGTTAAAATAACGTTCTACGTCATTTTAATCTGTTTCGTTCCTTTTATTTAATTTAAATTGCTAATTATGTGGAATTTTATTTCGGTCGCACCCAATTAAGTTATATTTTTTGCCCCTACAAATTAATGCTGCTAAAATTTTTACGCCAATTTGGATCGAATGATAGATATTTTTTATCCTTTTTATTATATTTTTGGTCGCTTGATTTACGCATACTTATAAAGATAACCATACAGAATGAAGTAATATTAAGGAAATTTCGTATCTACAAATATATATTATACTAGCTGACCCAGCGAACTTCGTACCGCCATAAAAAATAGGGGTTGGTGGTAGAAAGTTGAAAATTTGGGGATGTATGTATTTTTGTATGATGTATCATAAAAAAAAATATCTAAAATTGAAAAAAAAAATTTAGGGGTGGATTACCCTTAACATTTAGGGGGATGAAAAATAGATGTTGTCCGATTCTCAGACCTACCCAATATGCACACAAAATTTCATGAGAATCGGGAAAGCCGTTTCGGAGCAGTTTAACCACAAACACCGCGACACGAGAATTTTATATATTATATATAGTATAGTTATACAAAGATTGATAATAATCAATGAATTAACTATTAAAATGTATAGTGGAATATTTTCTTCTCAAATAGTGGTTGTAGCTAAATCAATGAACTTACATTCGACGGACGATAGATGACAGAAAATGCAATCGCATTTTCAGTCATTGTAATACTAGTTTTTTTAAATACTAGTTTTAAGTTTTTTTTTACTTTGATCACTTTGAATTAAGAGATATTGATCATTTTTATATTTACATATGCATCTCGCTGCATCGATTCTCTTATTTTCATGAGCATTATTATTCATTTCGAATGAATCTTACAAAAACATGACAAATAAAATTACTACTTATAGCTCAAATAGATTACGGTCATTTTGTTGTAGATCAGGAATCAGTTCATTCTTCAGCCATTTTGAATATACAGAGTAATCAATTTCTCACTTTTTAGAGTTATAATTGTGTTATAAATAATTGAAACTCACCAACCCATATAAGTTGTTAAAATGCCCTTCCATAGATGGACACACATTCACTATCAAATTAATATCGCGCGAACAGTAAATTGTTTATAAACATGTTCACACAACTAATGTATTAGGATCCATGATGGATATGTATGAACAAGTCAAGGATAGAGCTCGTCTCCAAAGAGATTTATACTTCATACTTGGTTACAAAACTTTTTAGAGCTTTTAAACTTCTTATGTATATCTCTTATCTATTAGACAAGTCCGTCCGTCCGTCTGTGGTGCTGTTTCAGCGGCCAAACCGTAAGAGATAGATAAAGAGAATATTTAAGTTACAAGTTAAGAATAATCTGATAAGACTACAAACCGGATTTGAGTAACGTAGCACTTCCGGTTTTCGAGAAATCACGAATTTCAAACGAAACCACACAAAATCTCCGAAGTTCTCAATTAATTAAATACGTTTTTTTTTTCAAATCAGGTTTTGGTGAACATTTGGTTCACTGGTTTGCTAGTATTATTTAATTGGTCAGTTTTTCACTAAGTTCTTTTATCAAATTTATATCATTCCATATCTGATATTAATCTAACGATTGAAGTTATGATAGTAATTTAGTGTTAATTCGTCAAGGCTGATTTTAATTCGTGATGCGGTTGGCGTGATGTTGAGCAACCCACAATAATAAACTTTAGGCTAATCAATCATAATCGTGTGATATACCTGACCTGAGTTCAAAACTTTTTAAGTGACGTGTGCTGAGATGTTTGCGAGAATCTTGAATTTGAAATATAATAAAGAATAAAAAATCAAGGTAACTACGGCCTTTATCAGAAGTATCACGAAAAGTTAAAGATTTTTGAAGATTTAATCGAAATGACAGGTGCATTTTTTAATGTAGCGAAATTGAATTATCTTCACTTACCTTGATTGAAGAAGATGCAGCCGACGCCAGAAGTTCCTCAAATTTGGAAAATGATATTGTTCCAAATGAAACTGCTACAAAAAATTGCTTTTAATTCCTGCCACATAACACTAATTTTTATAACTGATACATCACAGAACAAAAGTCCTTACAGACTAATAAAGGCCAAGCCAAAAATAAATCTAGAGTCCGTGAAAAAAAAGTTAGCACACGCAAATTCGAAAACAGAACGCGCGCGCCCGTGCGTTCGCGCAACGTGAATCGCGCGGTTAGTTTTTTAAACCGTCTCCGAGCCTCACTCGGATGTGGTCCGTGTGTGACTGTATACTCATCTTGCACTTCACGATTACCGAAGAAGATACATCGCCTGTCTCGCTCGCGCGCGCTAACGTGCGTTATCCCCGTCCCCTTCACTTATTATCAGAGGTTAAGCCTTGCTCATCAGTCAGTCGGCACGCGGACACCGGGTGGGAAGGCCGTATTCAAAATTTACAGTTACTTTCTCAATACGTTATAGGTCCATAAAACACGTAGTGTATGGTTGCGCGTACAGCTATTTTGCTCGCTCGTCGCTGCGTCTCTGATAATTTATTTGTTTGGTCTCACTGCGCCAGCGCAGGTGGCTGCTCTTTCGATATTTATTGATCGGTTAGAGAGGTGTGCCGCACTTTGCGGTTTTGTAACCCGAAGACGTTTCCCTTTGTTTTTGAATAGCGAACTAAATCATATTATTTACTAAAAGGTAAAACGTTTTATAAATATGAATGAGTTTCATCAGGACATTAGCATGAAGCGTTAATAAAAAAGAAGTTTAATCGAAAACTAGGTCAGAGTTCAACAGATTGTAAATCACACCGAGTGGCATTAACGATCGCGCGTAAACTAGATCGCGCCGAAAACGGTGCGCCCGCGGCGGCGAATGTTTATCTTCGACCAATCGTGTGGTCGCGAAATGACAAGCACGCTAGATCATTCGTTTAGATGATCGGCGCGCGCGCAGCATTTGCTGGGATTGGTGGATTGGTGTGTATCGCGGAGGCCCCGCCTGGGCCGTCATAGGGGGGCAATGACTGCCCCAAAAGTGGGGGTTTCTGCACCACTAGGGGGAGGGGGGGACGTGTGACATGTGTCAATGTGTCAGTTGAAGCTTAATTAATGCAAGCTTAATTGTACACTTGTATGCTCGATGACGGCATCGGCTGTACGTAATGCGACCGTGTTACGCAACACGTTGTTCTTGTATGTTTTTGAATGAAAATAATTATGACATTTCAAAGGGTTGGTATATATTATTGACGTGACAACGTCTTAAATTAGGTTGCGGCTGGGAGTCACTTATGAAAAAGTGTAACGCTCGGTAACGTTACGATGAGTCTCTCGTGTTAAGTTTAAGTTTACATGTACAATGTTTTAGTAAACAAAATATATTTCTATAGTTAAAATTTGTGCAATTCTTATTTTCATTCAATTCCTTGTTCCTATTGTGCAATTTAATTATATTCATATCAATAAATATTCTACCGAGAAAAAGACGTTGTCACGTAAAATCTTCGCCCGTAAAACCGACTTTACAGGCAACCATTTTTTTTGTTAAATCAATGGTTGGTATTGTAAATTTTTAATTTTTCTTTTCTCTAGAGTTCTGTTATAATTACTTAATATCTCGGCCGAGTGGAATTTTATAGTCAAGTTTTCTTTAGGATTGTAATTAAATAACTAGAAAATCATATTAAAGGTTTTTTTTTTAACTGAACTACATTCAATACTTTCTTATTTTTTTTTTATTTTACTAATTGGGAACATAAAGCAGTTATATACTAAATATTACATAAAATTATAATGTAGATAGATAGAATTAGGTAAGTGTACAACCCACACCAATGTCCACAAATTAATGATGAAAGGAGAAGTTTATTATCTTCTCAATACAGTATAATAAAATAAAAACCGCGATGAACCGGTACAGATACAAGGATGATACCAAATTGCCATTTTTTTTAAACTTTAATTTTGAGAACCCAAATATGTCTAATTCTGCAAAGTTTATGTTATAATTATCTAGCAGTCGACGAAGGTGCGCACGCACTCTCGCATTCGTTCTACAGGTCCCAGTATAAAACAGTTGATTAATAATAGAATTAACATTACATAACGGTCTTCTCTTGAGATTTCTTTACCAGACGATTGATGCAATTCAAGAGGGAAATCTTCTTGACTCTACCTCTCTTAAAATGTATGGTTTCACGTACCATTTTTTTCTTTACTAAGCTACTAGCGCCAAATCATAATTTTCCTTTGAATTTACAAATAAAGTGGATTTTAATTGGTAAAAGAATTTTCAAAATCGGTTCAGTAGATTCAAAGATTACCGCTTACTACTTCACAAACTTTACCTCTTTATAAGATGAGTATAGATTTTTAGTTTAATACATTTATTTTTTAAATTATTTGGTACTAACTTTTACAATCCTAAATAAAACAACTTTCAACGGGTTAGATGCATTGATTTAATTTAATAATTGAAAAAAGAAACAATATTTTGACAACGCATTCCTGCAAAGGCTGTGAAACGTCAATAAATAAATAAAATCAGTACATCTAACCCGTTGAAACTTTTTTTTTATTTGGTTTGTAAAACCGAATAGGGGTGATGACGGGGTACAGTAAACGAAATTCTATTTAGTCCGTCAGTTAGATGATCAAAAAATAATGGACACGTATTTTTTCTTTGGACAATCAACCAACAAATGACAAAGTTATAGCGCGTCAAAGTTTGGGAGTAGGGGCTCGTGACGTCACTTTTGAGTGAATTTTCACTTGTAAGTGTACTCAAACGTGACGTCATGCGACTTTTCAAATCAATATATCTCTGCAATGTTTATATTATGTGAAAAAAGAAAAAATACGTATCCAATACTTTTTGATAATCTACCTGATAAACGAAGAAAAAAAAATTAGTCATCATACCTATTGTGAAAATGACGAAATAATTACATACAGTCTATCTAAACAATATCACAAATCTTATAAATGCAAACACAGCATGCACTTTTATAAATATCTTGGAATCCTTTTTTAATTTTATGTACACAATACTATAGGGTAGTATTGTGTACATAAAATTAAAAAAGGACACACTTACATTTGCAACAATGCTCTCAGTTTTTTTTTTCATTACCGCAACAGAGTCGTCAACTGTTTACAACTTCTTTTATTTAATGAGTGATGTGCGTGAAAACCTAAGAAAGAAATATTTTACAATCCTACTTAACAATACACTTGTTTTGGTAAGATTTGGCAAAGCGGATTTACCACTCGAATTGGAGCGCCTTCTGGGGAAATAAGGTTAACCTTACAAAAGATTACAGTAAATTAGCGCGTTCGGCTGCGATCATTGAAGTTAAGCAACTTTCATAGTGGTCGGTCATTGGATGGGTGACCAAAAATCTTTTATTTCCAGTTTCTTCGAGCTTTGAAAAGCAGTTTAAGCCGTTGGTCCCGGCTGCATCTGCAGTCGTTAGCACTCGCCAATCCGCACTGGGCCTGCGTGGAGGGTCATGGCCCAATCTCCCTATTCCATCCATAGGGAAGGCCTGTACCCCAGTAGTGGGGACATTACTAAGCTGATAATGATGACTTACATTTTAGACAACATTCCAGTGATTTACTTTAACATAAAATATGTTTCGGGATCCTGACACTTGCCATTTAACTCCCTTATTAATAAACGAAGACTATTTTTTTATATCGTTATTTGGGAAACAAACAATGAAATAGCCTTACAAAAGATTACAGTAAATTGATACTAACTTTTGGAGGCAGACCTGTCTTTCCCAGTGGGCACTTTGGGCAAGTGCCCAGGGCCCCGTGATCAATAAGGGTCCCCTCAGGTAAAATACAAAGTCCCTCGGTCCTGTTAAATCACCAAACGGAAGTCATAGGGCCCCCATTATCCTAATACGCCCAGGGCCTCCAATAGGTCAAAGATGGCACTGTTTGATGGTGTTGTGTTTCTATCTATTAGTGACGTTTCAGGGTTCCACGCGGCAGGGCATCGGGTCAGGGTAGGCAATGACAAAAGATATGTTTATAGCAACGATTCGTTCCTAGAATGATACGCGAGGCTATTGAGATTAAAAAATATCCAAATTTCAATAGGGAAGATGGTTGGTATATACCACCAGCTTGGGAACCCATTATTTAACCCATAACCAAAACCACCCAAATAAAAATCTTAATGTTAGTTCCGTTTTTCACCACGCCCATTCTCTTTCCGCACAGACTCTATATATTTTTTCCAATGATTGGTAGAACAATTAAACAAATCAATTGATGCAAGCCTATTGTTATATTCAGTACAAGACCTTATCACAAAAGTATTAGCGCTATATTTGGTGCAAACTATAGGTAAACTAAATAAACTTTTTAGACGGAAATCTTGAAATGAAATGAAATGGAAAACATTTATTCGGAACAGACGCGGATACATACAAAAGGTTAAATTTATACACACACACACACACACACATACATATATATATATATATATATATATATATATATATATATATATATATATATATATATATATATATATGACTGACTAAATGACGGACATTAAAAAACATACATTACATATATCCACAGCTGGACCGAAAAGGATCCAGTTCAGCATGAGTCAGTTTGCACTGACGCTGGTTTTCAACTGGTTCCCTTCCTGATTTGTGGATGCCAGACACTATGATACAAGATTAAAAGATTTTATATTAAATAAAAATGAAATATTACAAATTGTACCAGTGAACAAAAGAAAAAGTTAAATGAGTAACATATTCAATAATCTCATCTAAACAGTAAATAACACAATAACATATTTTCAAGGTAAACAAACCATGAAACACTGACATAAATGACTTTTTTTTATTTATTTTTTTAATCTTGGATTATTTACTCGAAGGTTTATCTCTACAAAAAAAAGTACAAAGGGCACTTAAGTGACATGAACAAAACGCGGCGTAACTAGTGTAATTTTTTCCCTCCCTCTTTTATTAACAAGGGGGTAGGATTTCGGGTCTACATTAAATTTAAATAAAAAAATTAATTAATTCCTTTTTTTATCTCAACCGCTTCCAATTAGATGAAAATATGTTGAAATTAAAATTACCGTTTTTTTTTCTAAATGGCTTCACACGGCTTGTGCTTTTAGCCAATGTGAAGTGTTTAAATATTTACAAATAAACTATAGCACTCGTGGTCAAAGTAAGTGGCAGTCAAGTCAATCCCCCTTTCCCCATGTTTCAGTAAAAGTGTGGGGA